TGTTAGCCTTTCATACAAAATAAAGGCTGTTTTTTTTTTCTTTTCCCCAGTAGTCAATTAAAAACGTTTCATGCTTTGACCTTTCAAATGGAGTCATTGGTGTGATACAGGAAAACAGGAAAATAATTTGGTCAGGGTGTGTGTGTATGTATGTTTGTGTGTATTTGCACGCACACTAGTGACTGGTCTATAAATGAGCCTTCATATACAACCCCAGTACTTTTTATGAATTGTTTTGCATTTCTATTGTAAAACCTTGTCTACCACGTTTTCTAGGAACTTTAAGCCTAAGGCAGAACTCAAGGTTTTGGGAGCCTATATAAAATAATTTATAGCACCTTTCCAGTAAGTCTTGCCCAAGCTCTTATTGTAATTAATTAAACATCCTGTGGCAATCTGGTTTATCTTAAAGATTTAAAAGAATGTTATAGTAGACTACTAGAAAACATTGAGATTGAAGAAAATTAGCTTTTCTTTAAAATCAAAATCAAGAAATAAAGCAGGTTTGCCCTTACTCTCAGTTTTACCTCCTGTGAAGACATAAGCCACGTAAGCATCACTATGTTCTGTGCATGTATGAGATCCATATGTTGGGGCCCCACACTCCATCAAGTAATGTTGCTTCTGTGTTAGTTTAAAAATGTCTCTTTGTGAAATATGTGTTCTAAACGTTGAACAGCTGATCGTACATGGTGTTTTGTGGAAGTAGCACACATGTGTCAGTTATGGGACAGCTTCTTGCATGGCCATGGGGTGGGGAGAAGTGGCCCACTGCAATAACATGACGTGAATCTTTGTTGAGGGCCAGGTACCTCTTTTTAGTCAATATGATTAGGAGATGTAGGGACTCCTGCAGACTTACTGGTACAGCATTTTACTTTATAGTTATTTATTTTTGCTATTATATTTTGAAAGGATAGCAAGACATTTTAAATAACAACATTATTTTGGGGAAAATATTTTCCTGGCACATGACGGCATTGTTTGTAGGCATCTATTACTTATATTAGCAGGAGTTACTGAGAGGGAAGGATAAGGAGAGAAGACTGTGCTATATGTCACTGTATTATTATTCTCTTAATTTTCTATCAGGGGTGACAATTCCAAGGAAAAGAAACTTGACATCTACCATGAACTCTCTTGACTGCCAAGCAGCTAGCTAACCTCGATGAACTGTTTATGCTGCTCTCTTTTCCGGTCCTCTTCTCATCTGTAGTTTTGTGTTGAAAGGTAGTTGCTTGGTGACACTCCATTTGGTGGTAAGGGTATGCACGTGAGAAGGTGTTTTGGAGCATTAGCAATTACAACATTGGATGGTGGATAAAGAAATAGATACATAAATATTAGACCGATGCACAGCTTTCCAGTGTATGTTATTTTCCACATAAAGATATAGAGCATTTCGTAAAATGTTCCCAGACCATTTAAAACTGAAAGAAATGCAGCTGACGCAATGAAATACATAGAGTACTTGTAAAAACACACAGACACGCAAGCGAATTGCTGCCAGACAGAAAATTTAAAGGCGGTTTGCTTAACTGCAGGGTGCTAGGTTTTGTACATGTGCCATGCTGAAACTGTTAGTAAGGTGGGTGTTATGTTGCTTGAGAAAAGCAGATTGTATTTGGACCTTTTTAGCTTAGATGTTTCTAATGTCGATATTTTGGTGACGTTATGACATTATGATCGACTCACTGTGAAAAAAGATTTTTACCTATTGGGTAAAATAGACATTTTAGGAACATTCAGAGAAATTGTTGGTTTTGGTATGTATGTTTGTGATGTTTTATGAAATGGCTTTCATAGTTTTATTAACTATCAGATTAGATCTTTGAGCTAATTAGATAAGTTGAGCTTTGGTTTTAAAAGGCATTTTTAATTTTAATTTTATTTTTTTTAAAGGCATTTTTTTAAAGCATTGCTTCAGAGGGTATTAAGGACCCATAAAGTTTGCTTTTTTATACCCTTCATGGGCTGAAAAAGGAAATAAAAAGTTGTAAGTTTGAATTATAGTAAATAATAATGCATATATTATCTTAGAACATGTATCTATTAAAATTAGGGATCTCACTCTAGAGATAGTTTTAGGAAAATTCAAGGAATTTAATGAGTAATTATTAGGTTGCTATCATTAAGACAAGGTGCTGCCATAGTGGTTTATACCTTGGGCTACTCACCGCAAGATCACAAGTTCAAACCCACCAGCCCCTCTCAGGGAGCAAGATGAGGCTATGTGTCACTGTAAAGATTCACAAACTCAGAAACCCAAAGGGACAGATTTACTCTGCCTTGTAGAGTTGCTGTGAGTTGAAATCAATTCAATGGCAGTGGGTTATCATCAAGAAAATATTTATGGTGACCATGATGTGAATGGCATCTATGTTGGCATCCTTTCTGTTGCCATTTTGCTTTCATTGTGTTACAGTTGGTTGATTTTTCTTTTCATCGATGTTTCATTCTCTTTTTAAAATTCTACTATGTCATAAGGAGTCCTGGTAGCACCAATGGTGAAGTGTTAGGCTGTTAAGTATTAGGCTTGACAGTTGGAAACCATGGGACAAAGACCTGGTGATCCACATCTGTAAAGTTGAGATTGATTTGACAATACTTAATAACATCATGCTGTATATATGAATAAAACATTTAAAGTTAGGTTTCTTAATATAGCTGGGCAAAGACTTACTGACATTTAAAAACCTGTTTCTCCCCTTACAAACAAGAAATTTATTTTTTCAAATTAGAGCATACTACAAATTTTGATTTCTGATATTTGTTGCTTCATAAAAATAGAAAAATAAATTCCTTGGTTCTGTTGCTGTCAGTGTTTCTGTGGTTCCCAAGAAGCCCAAACTACTGTTAAAAAGAAGATATGATATTATAAATTTGTATGTGAGTCATTTCTCTATGAAGTTTTCTGGTTTAAGAGTCAATGTTAACCACATGACTATTTGAAGAAAAAAATTAGCCTTCGGTTATTTTGTGACTCTTACTGTGTTTTTCAGTTGCTAATAGGTATATTTTCTTGGTCTCTGGACCAAATTTCAAGTAATTTATGAATGTTTAAGGAATTATAACCACTGTCTTCTTTTTAGATCTTCCCTTCACCCCCTTACCATGCTTTCAAACATTTTTGGCACCAAATTGTCCCTTTGCACCCTGCACTCTTCTCTGTAGATGCAGTGGTTTTCTTGAAGCCCTGTTGGTGCCCTCTGGTCGCCTATCTCAGGAGGCCCAAGTCCTTATGTGTTTTCAGCCCTGCAGGCCAGACATGAGCCATAGCTTCTGTACCAGGCCCCCCAGGACAGCCCTGCCCAGTCCAGGAGACATTGTCCCAGAATTCTGCTAGTCATGGTCTTAGCAAGTCATCAGTGTCCTGTCTTGGTGGTTGAAGATGAGGGTAAAGAAAAAACTGATTACATGTTTTAAAGCCAGTTGGAAGACACTCCAAGAGCCACACAGGTAGTTTCAATAAATTTTAAAATACACCCCTTTTTGGGGAAACCTTTTTTTGATGCAGCTTTTGTGATTCTTGGCTTTTAAAAGATAACACCCACTGGCTTTAGCCCCACTGGTACTTTTAGTGTTTCAACTTGGTGTGCGGCATAGCCTTGGGTTTGTCCCGGTTTGATTTTTTCACTGAAGCAAGTTAATGATTTTTTTTGTTTGTTTGTTTCATGGCTTGAAAGGCTTTAACTTAACATGGATTCACTTTCCCAGAGATGTAAATTCTTATTCTAGTGTCTTTTAAAAGATAAATAAGAAAAATGAGTTGCATTTACAGTGATGACCATTAAGAAGTTGCCTCAAATACTACATTTCCATAAGCCTTTTGCACTGAAACATGACTTCCCAAATAGATACTGTTCTGATCACTTCCCTAAATAGGCCTCAGAGGACTCAATCTTTCTCTCATTGGAAAAGATTGCAATAAAAAAAATCAATAGCAAATAGTGCTAATAGCTTTCAGTTAGTACATTTTGGTATTGATTTACAGATGATAAAATTGGCTTATTTTAGAATTATAATTTAAGAATTCTGTTTTAAAAAGTGGCATGAAAGGTGTTTTCATCTATATATTTTTAACGCCACTTTAACACCCCCCTACCCCCCACTGCTCTCCTTGAGAAAGACAAGGCTACCTGCCCCTGTAGAGGTTCACAGCCCTGCAAAAGCCTGCAGTGCAGTGGTTCTCAGCCTTCCTCAGGCTGCGGCCCTTTCATACAGTTCCTCATGTGGTGCTGACCCCCAACCGGAACATTATTTTCGTTGCTACTTCATAATTGTAATTTTGCTACTGTTATGAATCGAGGAACCCCTGTGAAAGTGTTGTTCGACCCCCAAAGGGGTCACGACCCACAGGTTGAGGACTGCTGAATAGGGTCGCTGTGTATCAGAATTGACCCAGTGACTGTGGGTTTTGGATTTTTGACAAGCTAAAAATGGTACTGCTTGATCCTTATTTGAAGAAAACTTCACCTGGGTGTAACTGTCATTTCAAAAGAATCCTTAAGCATTTGGGGAGGAAATGTTTTAGTTTTTTAAAGCTGAGAGTTTTGTATTTGTTCCTTCAGAGAACTCTTCTCACCACTTCACTCTCCTCCCCCTAACCTGAAACTGGTGATAAAGAAGGTTTACAAAGCCCACATCTGTAGCAATATAAAGGAGGCTTCTGATTAAAGAAGAAAAGTCAAAGCAGTTTTAAGACTCATTTTCAAAAATATTGAGGGCAATTTGCAGCTGGCAAGATTTTTGCATTAAGTAATAGTCTAAAGTTAACAGTAGCATCAGGTCTTTAAATGTTTTCTATTTCATATTTCTGGAGGAGGGTCATGGGAGTGCCTTGCTGAGCCCTCCCTGTGCTCATCAACATAGCAGCCTCAGCTGCCCCCCTTGGATCCCCTGCCAGGGCTGCTATCATCTTCTGATCAAATATTAATGTGTGATCCTCTGCTTGCTCACTAATCCAAAGCCAATTAATATTATCTGTCAATTATTTACAGATCCTGAGGTGCAGAGGCAATTCCCGGAGGACTACAGTGACCAGGTTCGGAATGCGTAATTAATTTTTTACATGACAAAATTTATTTTAGAGTTGTTCAACATATTATTACTGTTCTTTTTTACTGAAAGAGATAAATGAATTTTTAGAAGGAAAGGGAAGCAGTAATTAGGGAGCAAAGACAAAAAGTAAAGCATATTGAAGTAGGGTTGAAAATCTCTGGTGCTGGATTCAGGGGGAAAAATGCCCAGAAAGTAAGGAAGAAAATTGACCACAAATCTTACTTTCCACTTCAAGGTATGCTATAGCCTGCAATTGGTTAGGAATTCCTCTTTGGAATGCTTGGGGTTTTTTTGTTTTGTTTTGTTTTAAATGCTATTTAAGTAAGCAAAACAATAGTAACAAAAAAAGAGGGAGATTTGTAACATTTCTTGGAATTTGAAATAAATTTTGAAACTATGTTGTTGTTGTACTACCAGGTACATGTGCAGAAATGGCTTGTAGGGTGAAAATGGTTCTGATGACAGTAGTGAAAATTAAGAGGTTGGCCCATTGGCTCTTCCATTGTGGATTTCTTGCTTTCTGCAAGCAGAGAATGGAGTTGGAAGACATGATTTTGCTTGCCAAACAGTGCTGATGTTACTCTGTATAGTTAGATTTAGGGTGTACATTTGGGATTCCATTCTCTGTCTTGAGAAATATTTGCGATGTTTTATAGCTTTTGGAGCAACTGACATTTTTAACTCAAATACGCACTTTGGTAAACTTTAAAAAGCAGTTTTGAAATAAAAATATCTGTAATTAGACTGACTAAAATAACTATATATAACATTCCTGTATGTGGGATATTGTACACAGTCAGAATCTGTTTCCGAAGTACATCTGTTTACTTTTGTCTATTTAAAAAGTCATTGATCTAGAGAAATACAATGTGATGGCAGTAACAGCTCTGCGATGTGACCCATTGTATAGAAAGCAAAGTATCTGATACACCTCCTGGATAAAAGGGGCCGTGATGTGACCAGGAATGTAGCTGGCCAATCAGTCTAATGAGATGCTTTGTTAGAAGATTTTATTGTACAAGAACCCAAGAGGACTGGTGTGACTTGTGTTGTTTTTGATCTCAGGACATTTTTAAAGGGTTTTAAAAAGCACTAAGTTCTTCCCACTCCACCCCTTGCTTTAACGTCTACCAGGAAAGTTTTTATGTGGTCTACACTGCTGTGGAATTGAGCCTTTTAGATTTAAACTACAAAATCCAAGAGTTATAAGGCCTTTTATTAATGATTCTTTTTCCCCTTTAAACAATGGCTGAAGGGTGGAAAAATCTTAGAATGAACTTGAGGCCATAGCTCTTCATTCTAAAATCATGTGTCCAGTAAATACTCTTTGTGGTCCCCTGATCTAAACTACCCAGTGAGAGAAAATTTTATAGGAGAAAACTTTAAAATGCTATAGTTAACATCTGGATCTATTGCTTCAACAGATTTTCATATTACATTTGAAAAATTTTAAGGTAACATGATTTTACTTTAGTATAACTTGAAAATTATATGGATAATATGCTCATTACACACACAAAATTGGAACATAAAGTAAAGCAAAAGAAAAAAGAAAGATAATTAAGTCACCTATAGTTTTGCCCCTCAGATAACCACTGTGATGAAGGAGTTTATCTTTCTATGTTGATTTCTCTAAGTGCACATATATGTGGGAGTATGTGGATGTAAACATGTATGTATACATGCACCTTACTTACATTCATGTATGTATGCTGTTACTGCATGAGGCCCTATTTAGTGACTTGATATTGTAAAGTTATGAACTTTATTCTCTTAGTCATCTCATATATTGAGGTTAGAATTAAAATTACAATAGGAACCTGAGGGGAAAAAAAGGAAAGGATAGTTGTAGTTATTTTAAGAATCCCTGGTAGATGAGGGGTTGACGTTTTCGGCTGCTGTTCGAACGTAGCAGTCACTCGTCACTAGAAAGATGTGGCTGTTTGCTTTTGTAAAGATTTATAGCCTTGGGAAGCCTATGGGGTAGTTCTTTCTACTTAGATTCTGATCTCAAAAAACTTTTAAGTAGGCTTTAAAAAAGGGATCTCTATGCGTTGGAATCAACTTGATGGCAGTGGACACTGGTAGTTATTTTCTAGGTGTTCATAGGGTAGTGGTATTTTGTTTCTTTTTTGAGATGAGTGATACAGATTTGAAATTTGGAAAGGGATATTCACAAAGTAGATGTAAATTTAAGAGGGCATGTGTCTGTTGCCTTCAGCATCTCCTTCAACTTGACACACATGGCTTGACTTGTTCACCTGCTTATCACTCAAGAAATGATGAATAAAAGATCTACTTTGTTTTAGAAGTTACCTCTACATTTCCAGAAAGGAGAGTTGTGATGAGACTGGTCGAGGAAATGAGACCGACACATTTCTTATTTACCCGTTGGGTTCTAATCTTACATGTTTTTTCTTCTGGGAGCTTGTTGAATGAAGCCAAATTATATTTCTCTTGGGTGTGTGTACTATTATAAAAGCATTGTTAGGAATAGTCTGACTACATAGAAACCTTCCATGCTGAATATGTACTTAATCTAGAAAACATTCTTAGTATTAAAACATTTATGATGTAATCCATAAGGAATATTTGAGACAATTCACAATAGAGTATAGAGTACTTATTACCACACACACACATACACATGCACAATTCCCCTTCAGTTTTTCCTCCTCATTCGCCTAAACTACCAGTGCTTGTTTTTACATACAGTGTATTTCCCATGTACCAGCACACTTGATCAGAGACGCTTGCCGCTGCTAGATGTTTTATTCTGTGTGTTCTTTGTACCTTACAGTAAAAGAATCTGTCACAAATTATTGTGGCTCACTGCTTTAGAAACTGAGAAAAAAGGGAGGTTAGATTGACATCTGTGACTGAATAATGATGACCAGCCTTTTGGCTCTCCTTGAGCCACAAAGCTAGCACTGCCTTTAGAGTGGAAAAAGAAGTAAGAAGAAAGGGGAGGGATAAAAGAGAGTTACAAATCTGTGGTCCCGGCGATGTGTTACTGTTGGGCCAGTTGTCTGCGTGGTATGATAATCCATTTTGATCTTCTCTGTCTTAATTGTCTGCTAAAGACAAATGGGCAGTAAAAGTTCATCAGTTTCATCTTTTTTTTGCCTCTCGTTTAGAAGCAGAATAAATGATCCATCACTACAGAAGAAGCCTTCTTTCTGACACGGAAGTAATGCAGACCCAACACGTTTTATTAAAGTGTTTTCCCCTCATTATTTCAGTCCTCTCAGCTCTGATAGATCTTCCTGTTTCATAAAAAATGTAATCTGAAATGTAAATAAGGGTCTTGATACAGAAGGAAGCAGTAATGAGCAGCCTGCACCACATTTTAGGACTCTTGATTGTAATTACTGACAAAGTGAATTCTCTGCGCCCCGTTTTTCCCTCCTCCTCAAGTTGTCTGTGACACCCTCAGACCACAATGACATCTATGGCTTAAAACCATTAACTTGCTGTAGCACTCAATATTTCATTTAAAATCTAGTGAGCCTGCTATCTTTAAAACTGAAATACAGGCTTTGTTAATTCTTGAAAGAAAGGTAAAGCCTATATTTTTAAAGAGACAAACTTTCAAAATAAAAAAGGACAAAAAGTGAGTTCTTTTTGGAGTTCAGATTATTTATTCATTGCTCTTGTGTAATGCTTAGCTAGTTAAAATACTAAAACGTCAACATTGGTAGATCCTGGCTCAACAAGGATCCTGTATTAAAAAGAATTGCAACTAACTTATGAGTTTACTTAAATTGTATCTCATCAGTTTAATATCAAATAGTCAAAACATTTTTCTTAGGCTTGAAATGACCAAATTACAAATGTAATTTTGGAGTTATTCTGGGGTTTGGGAGCTTAAACCTGATTTTTTTCTGTCTCTTACTGTAAGTTTGACTAATGTGGCTTTTAATAAAAGCCTGTTTAAGAGAACATTTTTGTTAAAGAAGAACAGAACAACAATTATGCATTTCTTTTATTTCTCGAAATTGTTGCTCTAAGATAACAGCAGGTCAATTTGGATAAGACTACCAAACATGAAAACCTGACTGAAAATAGCCCTGTAGTTATTAAGTAGATATATAACAATTCTATGTCTACTATATTCATTCATAACTATAGAGATAGTTGGTGATACTGCACCCATTGTGATTAGTGATGGTTTAATGAATACTAATTGAATTAAGAGAGAAAATCATGGTTAAATTAACATTTTAGTAAATTATGATCACCACTCATCAAAATTTCATCCTTGGCTTCAAAACATTATAGATTTTTCAGATGAAAAAAAAAGAGGCTTTAGTAATTATAATGTGCAGTATGGGATAATTTGGAATAAGGATATAGTAACCTATCAGAGATTTCCATAAATAACCTTATAATGGGTCAAATATAATAGGTATCACACATGCTGTTTTGAAATACATTAGTTATATGATTACAACTTGTAATAAAACATGTAGAATTAATAATTATTATTAAAACTGTACTTTTTATAGCCTGTTTGTGCTAAGATTGGTGATTAGAGTTGAGTATCCTATAAGTTGCTTCTCCATATTTTGATGAACTTAATTGACTTATCCGAGCACTTTTTACAGAGGGAATGGGGCGCACTGAGCCACCCTTGCATATGTAGATCACTGCTGGGAGTTGCAGGTAAATTCTTCTTTCCACTGGCACTGGAACAGAGATTATAATGAAGCCAACAATCTTTATGCATTTATAGAAACTATAAACATTTTATGGAAATCTTTATATAGAAACTACCAGCCTTTCTTGTACAAGCTGTAAGCAGTGTAGAAACATGGCACATTAGGAGAAAAACAAAAGGTGCCCTTTCTTTTATGGTTTTATATGGCCTATGTGATTTCACATTTTCACTGTAGGCATTTAAGCCAATTATAAAAACATACATCATCTATATACTAAAAAGGAGCAAGAATATGTTGCATAACTTAAGCTAATTGTGATGGA